GTTTGACTTATGTGGTTATATGGTTGATCATAAACCAAATTCGTCAAGCTTGTCTGGAAGTTCGCCTTAGCTTCCTTCTCCTTAGCTGCTCCTTTATTGGAGCATCATATTCGAACCCATCAGTGTAAGCTGCTTATGAGTTCTGAGGCTCGTTCGAGCATTGTCATCACGTTCAATCAATCAAAACCAGTATCTACACTGAGTGCTGCTGCAGACAGCCCGTAATCTGATTTGCGTGGATTACACCCACTGTATGGAACTCTGGAAAAAAAGGCATAATCTCTAACTTTTATTAAAGGGGCAATACAAGGGATATACACAGAGGATTATTTTACCATTCACCAGGCCGGTTTTAGCAGTTATGTTAAGTTAGAGATGTTTTGTCAGAATTCAGTCATCCACCCATTTAAAACCAGGTATAATTACCAATGATAATGTTCCAGTTCTACAGTACCTATAATGTGTAAGCAACCACCATTAAAAGTAATTATCATTACATTAGCATAATTAGCAAATTTCTGCAGCTTCCACTGGTTTGAAGGAATTTATTCCAAAAAAATCATAACCTCAGTCAAATCTTATTCATCATCATTTTCAGTTTTTCAAATGTTGGTGCACATTTTGGCCCATTTTGGATTTCAGTTGTAGTGCAAAGTATATAGTATTTAGCAGGTAAAATGCCTGATAGTTCTCTAAAACAGAGCTAGAAGGAAACTGAATATTAACAGTATGTTTTGTGAATCGATACAAACCCCCAACTGCAAGCACCCACATAAACTGACCGCTATGATGTTTGATGTTACAGCGACTGTCACTGTGATGAATACAAATCCCACTATTCTGGTGGCATTAAGTAAACTTTATGCATATGGTGGTGTGTTCTTTATACTATAACAGTGTTCCTAAATTTGGATAAAAAAATCAAAAAGAAATCACAATATATCACCTTGCTTACAGTTTTTACTGAATCATAATCCCTGTATCGTGATACATATTGTAAGATTCTTACCAATACACAACCCTAAATGTTAATAGGCAGTTTTTTGCTAACCCGTTTGGCCGTTTGTCTGTCTGTTATCTCTCATCTTGTATCTCCCTGTGTGTGTGTGTGTGTGTGTGTGTGTGTGTGTGTGTGTGTGTGTGTGTGTGTGTGTGTGTGTGTGTGTGTGTGTGTGTGTGTGTGTGTGTGTGTGTGTGTGTGTGTGTGTGTGTGTGTGTGTGTGTTTGTTTCACTTACTGAGTCGCAAGTCTGTACTGGAAGATTTGATTAGCTGATCCCATGAGATGATTTACAACACATGCATGATCCGCATCAATATCGGTTAAACCCGCACATCGAACAGATGAAACAGGGAAACCGCCCTTACTTGCGTCACACTTCACTTGCGCCACAATATAAGGTCGGACTGAAGATCTGAGTAATGGTTCCACAAAAGTACAGAAAATGTCAGTATATTTTATCGATAGATTTCAATTTTATATCATATTTTATAATTATCATTTTGTGATCATTTCTAATGAGGCTAGAAGTAGCCACTATAACTCATAGAATCAGCCCTTAGAATAGACACATAAATATATACTGACTATAAACTGTATATATACTATAACTATAATAACTACTAAAAAGTGATCCGAATGATAAATGAAGACATGAAATTGAATTGAAAATGCAAACATATATGATAAATTATTTTATATATGTTGGAAGTTATTGATTCCAGCCCAGTTATTGTGTTGGCACTCTGCAGCCTTCACACAGGACAGCAGCTACTCCTTATATTCTGTATTTCTTCAACCCGTATAAAACTCTATAGTGACAAATTTATTAAGGTTTTTAAAGAACTTGGCAAATGTGTTTACTGGCACAGCAGTGAGTCACCTCACTAATGGCTTCCTGTTGACACTTAGAGTAGAACTCAGTATGAGTGAGCCTTCACAACATCGCAACCTGATCTGGCGAGAGCGGCAAAGAGGAAGGAGAGCGACATTATTTATTGACGTTGGTAGCTGATGTTCACGAGTCATTTACAGACTGAAGTGTCCATTTCCCTTGCAAGGCTTTGATGTTCATAAATGAAACTCGCTGCTGTAAAATGTAGACTTCCACCAACGGTACCCAGTGCTGGCTATTGCTCAATTACACCAAAGCCACAAAGCATCTGAGTTTTGCATTCAGAAAATCCAACCTGAGATACTGCTGGGTCAACTCATAATGCAAAATCAATATCTGAATAAACACTGTTCTTACAGTAGATTGGATTCCACTGGAAATACAGCGGTTAGTGTAAGAAATAACTGTGTATAAACCATTTAACCATCAATAAGGATGTTGGCAAAGCACAAACAAATCACTCAAGGGTTATCCAATGAAATGGAGTTTTGTTTGATAAGTTTACATTTGAGGGGAGAGGTTGGGGAGGGGTATTGTTTGTTTTCACTGGTGGGACTTTGTTTCAGAAAAGGCTGTAAGAGCCTCCCAGAGAGTTGTTTGAAACAGATGAATGGCAAGGGTCGAGGTATGTACGGCTGCAGGTGATAGAGCCTAGAAAAATGTTTGGCATGTCCAGTTAACTGCCATGGGGGAAGATGTTATCAGCGGGAGTGTTACCCTAACAAAAGAGACCAAAGAGTAACAGTTTATTTGTACCAACAGACTGTAAAAGCTAAAGGCCGCTCGGTTTCTGAATGCTGAGTGACTATAAACAACATTAACCTGTTTCTTTGTTGACCATTTACTACAGGCATTTGGCTAGTTTTACTCTGGTATCATCTTGTGTTTGTCTTTTTCTGCTACAGGGGATAGTTCAGGTTTTTTGAGGTGGGGTTGTATGAGGTATTATCCATTGTTAGTGTATTTGGTAAAGTTGACAGCGGTTGGCACCTAAAAAGCCCACCAAAAAAAGAATCTGTTAATTTAATTGGATGCTATATTTAGAATAATTTCACTACTTTAACTTGTTGTAAGACAGGCCTTTCCAGCGGGAAACTGAAGCGTTTATATTGCTCTCTTCAAAGCCACCAGACTCCTTAGACAAAAACAGTAATTTTACCTCGCAGCACGCGGGAGTTGCTGGTCTATCGCTGCCGTTAGTTTGGATCTGAACTAATGTGTTAAAGCACCAAATAACACAACAAACTGGGGCCTGGCCAACCGCCGCCCACTGTAGGTAGTACACCATGGGTAAGTACCTCATACAACCCCACTTAAAAAAAGGGAACTAACCCTTTAAACACTTCCTGCGTCAACTTCTTGTGTGCTTGTGTTTGAATGCAGCAAGGCTCATGATTTACACTAGTGCTGATTCATTTGAAAACACGGTTTATTTGTGCAAGGTTATTTTAAAACTTGTCAACATTAAAATGTGGAGAATAGGAAGGGGTGCAAAAATTAGCCCATTAACTGATTAGTTGATCAAGAGAATATTCATCAGCAACAATTTTAAGTTGCCATTTTCTTTTTCTTATGTGATAGTGAACTTAATATATTTGGGAGGTTGGTTGAATAAAAAAAAACAATTTCAATACATATCCTTGGGCTGAGGCACTTTTTCTTTACTTTTATAACATTTTATAGATGAAACTGTTGACCGAGGAAATAGTTGTTGCATTCCACTGGGTTACTGTGAATTGGTGCCCAAAAGAGAAGAACGGATATATTTCCAAATCTAGCCGCATTAGCATGGATATGGAATTCTGATGAGTGTTGTTGCCAATGGAGGATAAACTACTTAAAGAGGTACTCCAGTGATTTAATATTTTTAGTACAGCACTTCCATAAAGTTGAGGGACACACAAGAGTGGTATTTTAAAAAAAATGGCCAAAAGGTAAGGCCGCAACCCTGATGACATCATCAGGGGTATTTTTTCAGATTTCTGCCTCCACAGCCATCGTATACCACATTAAACTGTATATATTACACTGTTTTTATAGAGAAGTATAACCATGACACATTAATGGACGTTAACTTTTGGAGTGCCCTTTTAACTGGTAGCTGTTGTAACAACACATGGCAGTTATTTCAAAACCATAATCACTGAACTACGTTTAGTCTTGTTAATCTCAAGTAATTACTTTCTGCTGTTGCTGCAATGCAAACATGAGGAAACATGTTGATTCTTCGGCCTCCTGCCTGTTCATTTATGTGAAACCAAACTGGCTGCCATCATCTCAGTATGCGCCATGAGCTAATTATACAGCTGTAAAATATTCCTGGCTGATTAGAAAGGTGAAGCTAATGAGGCCAGACAAAAACATACGGCTGCCTATTGTGCACCGTGAATGTGTGTGTGTGTGTGTGTGTTTCACCACGTCAGTTAGGTTGTAAAAATTCCACCGAGTGGCAGAGTGGCCGTGGACAATTGCCACTCTTGGTTTTTTTTTGTAATTAGGGCGTGTTTGCTTTGTACACAGCAGCACCTGGTTTTACTACTATGGTCCTCTCAGCTGACAGGCTCCACCCGGTTACCATTGCTGCATGGGGGGGGTGGGTGGGCTCAAGGTGACTACCATCTGGGCGGGGCAGGTCTGGTCTCTCAGGTCTAGTGAGTGCATGACCAGTGCAATGGACCGTTAATACTGGGTTCAGTGTGTGTTTGCACACGTCTTCTCCAGGATACGGAGCTCTGGTATGTCCTTCTCCCTCGTGTGTCACATTACTGCTGGCAGTTGTTCATGTAAACGACAGAGAGGACAAAGCTTTTAATAATCCCACAGCCGTCTGTATACTGTCAATATGAGCTACAGCCGGTGATCTGATTGTCTATATATTGTCAGTAATGATCTGTGACATTTTCCTGTAAACAACTGCTCAGGGTCAGGTTAATCTATTTCTAACCTTAAAATCCTGAAGGACTTTAGAGAGGAGAGGAAAGAGCCTGCCTAGATCTGACTGATCAATAATCAATCAGAGGACAAAATGAAGTAAAAACACAGACACATGATGGCGGTAACTGCTGGTTTTTAATTCCCTCTCTGCCTTTCTCTTCTGTCTTTGCAGTGAATAATCAGCCTTGAGGTGGGCCAGTGATGCCGCCCCCAGCCACAAGTCCCCCTGCCGTGCCCCCACCAGACGGCGGTTGGGGATGGGCTGTGGTGTTAGCATCTTTCATCTCCATAGGCTTCTCATACGCGTTTCCCAAGGCCATCACGGTCTTCTTCAAAGACATCCAGGTCATCTTCGATGTCTCCTACAGCCAGATCGCATGGATCTCCTCCATCATGCTTGCGGTCATGTATGCTGCGGGTAAGTCATTGGTTGGTTTTACCGTTATCTAACTTTTAAGTCACAATACAATTTTAATTCTGTGTACTTTTTGTGTAAACTATAATTATACAGCCATGTGCAGAGAGGATGTCCAGTAGCTTGATGCTTATTTTGGCAACCGACTGAAATCTGAGTGCTGGTGATGCTAGGTGACATTCTGGCTTCCATTGTGTGCTACTGACCTCAGAACATCATACTGTATCGCCTACGAACATTGATCCAATATGTTTATTCGCTTTTTACAAAAGCTCACTTAGTGTTAGCTATCAGCAGCTGGTGAATTAAACTGTCCGTCCCCTAACAACATTGAAAAAGTTGCAAAGATAAACTACCGCACGCAAAAATTAGCTTTTATTTTGGTACCACTTTAATCTACTGTGCAAACAGGAAATCAGCTTCTTCAAGTTGGCTTATGCTGCTTTATTTGTTGTATTAACAATCATTATAATGGCGTTCACCCCAGTAGGGCACAGGAGCTTGAATCCAGGTCCTCTATTTTAATGATAGTCCTCCAAATCACAGTGTGAAGGGGAATCTCTTTACACGTGTAAGGTGTTGTCGAGGATTATCATTGTTGCGAGGAGGTGGTGCGCGGTTTCCTGAGCAGATGCTCCATTCAAAAGCCCAGATAGAAAAAAATGGAAGCACACTGGAATTATCTTGTAGTGATTTATTCAACAGTGTTTGGTCCTGTCCGGCTCTCGGTGGACTCGTTCAACTTGCTGTTTTTTTCTGCCTCGAGATAGGAAATAACAGGGTAAAGATGGAACTAGGTTGTGTCATCAGATCATGGCCTGGATTTGGAACAACAGTGTCACATGCTGAGCCCCCAGAGAACCAGAAAACCATCATATTCTGTAAAGCTAAGGAAACAAACGAGGATTCATTTGAGGATCAATTAGCGTGTTGATTTTGGGAAATAACTGACTGGGAGAAAGAGAAAATTGTTGATAAAATGAAAAATTGGCATTTATTGTAAAGGTATGCAGCACAGACACTTAAACGTTTTGTTATTGCTCAATGACTAATCAAATTCAGGGTAGAAGGGCAAATCTTTTATGATATGAAATACCGACACAATGCTACAGCCGGTCTTGCATTGCTTCTTGAATAATGAACCTTCTGAATGGTCAGATTGTGTTTTCAGCCGGTCAGTTTCTCCAGCATATTGCTCTGATCACCTGCTGTATTTCCCACTTTGGCTTCGGCCCTGCAGCCTTCTGTTTGGCAGTGCCACGACTGCCATCTGTCCACGCTGTAATCCTCCTGTCACTCGGTCTACTGCTGTTGTCACCATCTGTACTGGCCAACAGCAGGCCTGGAAAGCTCATTTCCTGTGTTGTGTAGAGCAGCATCCACCAAGAGCAGTAAGAGAATTTAGCAAGGGCTTCATTCAGAGTAGCTGCTTGTTGCTCAAGATTGTTATACAAAGATGTTGCACAAGGTTAAGTAAAATATTGTGTCTCTATATTTTAATGAGTTTTAATTAGGTTTGCTATTGTGTGCACTGTATCTGTCAAACATGAGGAATTACAGAAGCAAATGCTGGTGAATAAATAAATTCTTAGAAGTAGTAATATTAGTACTATTAATAAGTAATAATAAGTGATACGCTTTTATATCTACACTCTTTGAAAATGACCCCCATTCAATTAAACCGATAAATCTCCCTGGCCAATATATCAGTCAATATTAGCTTGTTGAATATATTAATATCAGCATACGTGTCGGCCGATAAGTAACTAAATAACTGCCAAACAAAGATAATGTGTGATGAGGTCATTTAAAGACGTTGAGCCGCGTGCAAGAACTGCATGTATGACAGATATGTTCTTATGTGTCAGGTAGGAAGTGTCTGCAATGACAGAGTTGACAGCTACAGCAATATTTTCTTTTTTTGGGTCCCTTTGTACCACTGCTGACACTGCTATACTTGCTCTTTATTCTTCTGCTGATCTCTGACAGCAGGACTTCAACATTTGCACACTGAAGCGTTTCTTCTTTTACTCTTTATGTGAATTAAACTCACCCAACAGGTGGCTTTATGTCACAGTTTGGTGTATCCATTAGGCTAATGATGAGATCTCTTCAGAGATTCTCATGAACAGGTGGAATTTCTCAGGTTTAAATGAGCGATTCTGTGCGGTTTAGGTTCGCTGAATCTGACTTTGAATTCTCGTACCGGTACACCTCACAAAGATAAAGCATAATTATGATAAAGAGGTGAGTCTCCTTTGCAGACTTTGTTCACCAGAAAGCACCGGAAAATATCCTGCTACATTAAAAAGGCCCTTCTCAAAAATGTTAATATTATGTGTTATATATTTAATAGCAGTATCATACAGGCTTTAGCTCTGTGTCCGATGTGAATATTAACTAGCTTAATGTTAGTTGACACTTGAGGCTACTGCAACTAAAAACAAGTATGTTTTACTATTAGTTCAACATAGGATATATAGTTTGCTCATCATAATTAGCATCACAGTAGCATTAAAAGTCTTAATAAATTGAGTTGCTTGTATCTCTCTCGTTCATTCTTGTTAAATCAGATGCTCGTTATAAAGCTAAATTAAATCTAATCAAATGTGGTAAACTAAGTCGAGTGTTTATGTTAAATATATTAAGTTTGCTTTTGTGGTGGTTTTATTCTATGGCTCACACTCACATCTGCTTCTGTGGAAAAAAAACAAACACTGCCACATGACAGTTTCTTACCAATCGCCAACAGGTGCTTTAGCTTTACAGTGACTGTATGTCATTGTCATGTGGTGATGTCGTCAATATGTGCAGTTACTAAGCGATCGGCTGTTGTTACTCATTCATTCACATTGATTGCACTCATCAGCTATTCATTAAACATCTGCTCTCTTTTTCTGCCGCTTACGCTGAAGAAGCAATCGCTGTCTGAACACCTTTCTAATTCCCCAGCGCTGTGTGTGTGTGTGTGTGTGTGTGTGTGTGTGTGTGTGTGTGTGTGTGTGTGTGTGTGTGTGTGTGTGTGTGTGTGTGTGTGTGTGTGTGTGTGTGTGTGTGTGTGTGTGTGTGTGTGTGTGTGTGTGGCTCGGTCATTACTGTGAAGCTGCCTGATAATGAGCACCAGCCTCAGACACCCAGAAAAATATTAATTCAATCACTCCAAATGGCAGAAATCACCTTTTGTTTATCACTGTTGTCCAGTGCAAACCGTTTTTGAGCCAAAGAGGTCAGATCAGTGTGAGTGTGTATGAAAGTGTGTAATCCTTCAGTTTTAATGATTACATGAAAGTCATCAAAAACAGAGATTCAAGGTTTTCACTGAACAAACAGAAGCTTTAATGCAAAATACATACAAAAGTTAAAATCTTTTGTAGAAGACAATACTGTTTGCCAGTCAATACGTTTATTAACTGTCTTTTATCAATCAACTAAGCAATCAAATTCCAGATTGAACAATCAATAATCCTTTTAGTGCTTCATCAAGTCGTAAAAATACCATACCAACCCTGTGCCTGTTAGAGCCACACAAATGTAAATGGTAAATCTTTTTTCTATTTATATATATATATATATATTCTAGGGTCTATTTAGATATAGAGACCAAAACAGTTTTTTGCACCAGCCTGTAAACATGTTTATTTCTGCTGTAAGGCCGAGCATTTCTAATTTTAGATCTTATGGAGATCGACTCTTGTTAGATACACCACTTTTGGTCCAGACTGAAATATCCCAACAACTGCCGGATGGATTGCTATGCTACATTCATGGTCCCTAGTGGACAAATCCTGTTCAGTCCCTGGACTTTTCTTGAAGCACAGCCACAGGTAATATTATTTCTTAACTAGCAGTGTAAACTGGAAATGTGAGAATGGTTTTACAAAGCCAAAAGTATCACGATCAGTGAGATTGTAAATGAACTGATGCTTGCAGACTTTGATCGGCTGCTTTATACTGTAATAACTTTATAATGCGTTGCTGGAAAGCCATCACTCAGCCTGATGTGTAGTTTTGTTCCTGACTTCCTAGTGGAATACAATGTCATCAGCAAACCTGAGCATGTTCCCACCAATAAATAAAAATGCTGGTACCATAACAACCTTACCCTCTCTGAAGGTTTGCATAGTCAGTTGCATGACCAGCCATGCAAATCAATTGGCAAACATCTTTTCCAACAGACAGGGATAAACAGATATTATAATGAAATTAATTGGAAGTGGTGTGGTCCCGACTGTAAACCCTATGAACGCACTGTAAAATAAAACTCGGGCACGTCTCGTCTCTACAGCGCAATCCTTCCTCGCATTACATCAGAAAGCTGGGAAGCAACACAGCTCTCATCCCCACAGCACAGCCAGCGTCGCTCTGTGATGACGCATTTAAGCTGTAGGCTGTGTGTCCGTGTTGGATCAGGGTTGCTAATCCACACACACACACACACACACACACAGACAGACTTGACCTTGGGCGAGGTAGCGTGGAAACAGTGCGCACCCGTGTTACATTCACTGTCAGTCATAAAGACTGGTAGGCAGGATACCAGGTAAACAGTAGAGCAAACATGCACTTGTACTTTTAGTACCATGTTTCATTAGTTTGTATTACCACCCTGATGAAAAACCAGTCTGTGTTTTATGCTAGACTAAATAAAGGCCTTTAACAGCATTTTTCTCTCTGCTCTGCCTAAAAATCCCTGAAGAACGTTTTCTTAAATGTGAAGTCTTTTCCACTTCAAGAGCACCTTGAGGTTCCCAGGATTTACTGCATGTGAAACTGATTGAGCACTCAGCCCCTGCAGTCTTCCAGTGTGCATGTTACAGTAGATGTGATAATCCATAGAGCATGCTGTGAACAGTTTGCATAGGGACTTTTTCTTAAGAAAGTCATTGAAATGAAAAATGTGTGTGGATTGTCCAGAGTAATGGGTGATTGTTCCCAGAAAAACATTTAAAGCTATATGGCCTTTTTAGCATCTTTCAGTATAGTATTCACTCTCGACGTTCTCATTAACACCATTTTTGGCTGCAGTAGTTGCCTGTGAAAAGGCTCTAAACAGTTAGTGAGTAGCTGGTGAACATTGTAACATTTAGCAGCCAGACAGACATAATTTTCCCCTCAGGAGTTGGCAGAGTGCAAAATAGAGCTAAAATGAAAGTAAATATTAGACCCACATTCCAACATGACTCCAAATGAATGCTAATGTTGGTCTGTGTCTGCTGGATGTGTTAATAAGCAGCTCTTTGCTAATAAGTCCACCATATCAACTCTCGACAATGTGTCAGTGTTGTTTACAGGTTGTTTTTACTGCCCCCAAGTGGCCAGAAAAAATGTTAATGCAAGTTCTAATTAAATTTTTCTAATCCCCTCGGAGAAATCTCAAAACCAGTAACACAAAACAAAAACTGGGCTTAGATAACAGCAGTGATATGAGGAATTATTTTTTCTTTTTGGGGGCACACTGAAGTTTACTTTTCAATGTGCCAATGTGTAATTTCATAGAGCCTACTTACTACTTTATTTATTCAGATGTTTCTCTGAGAGCATTGCTCTCTGTTTCAGTTGCACATATTCACACTTGGAAACTGCCGGTACAACCATAGTCTGATCTGCTGGCTACTGAAGCAGTGTTAGAAGTGGGGTGCTAAGTGAATAGGGATGTAACAATATTTCGCACAACAGTTAAATTGCGTTATAAATAATCAAGATTCAAATCAGTGAGATGAAAAATTATTCATGATACTCTTGTTAAACAGCAGAGGGCGCTATCTACTTCTGTCTTCCTATATCACTTGCATCAGAAGCTGTATCAAAGCACAAAGACATGGCACTGCAGGTAAAGACTGAATTTAACTGAGGATGCATCAGCCGGTTTGGCTGTTTTCTGTAGTTGGTGGGAAATATACATTGTTTTGCACAGTTTATACCCTACGGCAGAAATAAAAAAGGATTCAATTTGATAAAGAAAGAAAGAAATATATTTTGGATATTTTTGTCATAATTTGTTTCAGTCTCATATTGTTAAACAAAATCGTGAGAAAATCGTACCGTCTTTAAGTCTGAACCCATTATCTTGAATTGTGTCGAATCCTGAGTTGATCGTATCGTTACATCCCTACAAATCAAAAAAATATTTCTGTTCTGAACAATTATTTAATTAACAATATTAAAATGTCCTTCAATCAGAATCGAGTGTTTGATTGCAATACTGTTGCAGTTGGGTTAGGGTTAGGGTAAGTTTAGGGTAAGTTAGTTAGCTGCATTGCGTTGAATCGCGCTCTGAAATCCAACGAGAAACACGCCTGCACAATGTGTTCTCCAACGATAGATGATGTTCTTGTAACTGGCTAGAGTGTCATTGAGCTGAATCAATGGTAGTCAAGGTTACTGAATAAAGTGACAGAACTGCAAGCTCAAATCATCTTCCAATGTGTACAGCCACTGACCAGCTCCACTGGAAAGGGCTTTGCTCAAGCAGCTCTCAGTGATGGTGACATTTCCCACCCAGGTTTATCTGGCCAGTCTTACCTGCCTGTCACTAGTCCACTTCTCTAACCTTCAGGCCACCTTGTTAACATCATCCAGTGTCATGCTGTTTACTGTCGCACAGCTCTTAACTTTAGCTCAAAGCCTTGTGTCAACCTGAAAATATGTATAAAGTTTTATCACATACATAAACTGGGCTTAGGCTGGTTTACCCTTCATTGTGTCCCTGTAAATATCTGTGTAATGGCTGGGCAGCGAGACACAGTCGCTTCAGAAAAGCATGTCCGTGTCCTCTTGCAGCAGAACCGCTTTTAAATGTTGTTTGCTTCCATTTCTGTTGACTTTATCCTATTTGAAGTGTGATGGATAGCCCGCATCCTCACATCATGAGCTGTACTAGCCTCTTCGCCGCAGCTGACATTAAAGGGTCGTGGAGAAACCTGTTAGACACATTTCTATATGTGTCATTCCCTTTTGGGATCTAGGTGGTTATATTTAGTTTGGGGTTTTGTCCACTGTGTAATGAAGTCCACCCTGTGTCTGGCCAGGAGATGATAAGCCTTTTTCAAGGGAGGTAATGTGCAGGCTCAGGGGCTTCCTCAACTCAGCCGATTCTGGTCCCGCCGAGCCCCCGAGAATACTGATCACTGCTGTGGATGCAAATGAGGGGAACTTTCCTCAAGGTCGAAAAAAGATTCATGCAGAGCAAATTAAGTCAGATGACTCCTCGCCCGTTGTGGCTTTTTAAATTGCACTGGGCCTGGCAGAAATATGATACATCTTCTGGCTGGTAATGAGAGCATTATTTTTTTTAAAAATACATCTTTCATTACTTCTCTCTCTCCCTATTCGATTTACACCTCCTGTACTTGAAATTCAACAAAGGGATGGGAGAAGGTGTCAATTAGAAGATATGCAGATTCTTAAAAAGTGCTTTGAATAGCTACATTATTTATAAGATATTACTGTAGGTACCAAGATATATAAAAGATATACCTGAAGTGGAACAAGGTAAACAATAGAACACGAAGTAAAGTAGCAGAAATCTAAAATTGCCTATTTGCTTAAAAATTCATAATAAGAGTCATAAGTAAAAAAAAATGAACATATTAAGAGTCCTAGAAATAAAAACAAGCCTACTCACCCCACGATTCACCTTATTAGAAGACTGAACATTGACAGTGATAACTGAGAATACAGATGAGTCATTAGTAGAGGAAACTTGCCCTATCATTGTCATTTGAATGGGAATGCTCTTTCTGTGCATTATGTATTCTGTGGCTGCTTTTAATGTGGGCACTGCTGAATTTCAATCACAACAAATGCATGCCGTTATCATCCCTACGAGTCATGCTAACATTTTAAAGCTGCACTAATGGATTTTTTTATATTAACAATGACACAAATCCGTATGTCATTGTAAAGATTCGAACTCAAACTCCACCAGAGCAAAAAAGTATTTAAATTATTTTGTGAACTTTTGGAATTTCACTGCTACATGTTTCTGTCTCGGCTACCACCATCTTTTCTCAGCTCTCGTAGGCGTTTTTCCGAGGCATACTACAACAATAAAAGCCCCTAGTGGTCAAAATATACTATTAACACTTTACGTCATGTCAAATATGTGGCTCATAGTGATTAACCAACAGAAAAAAACTCTGTTCGCTTAACAGAAGGAGTAGCGCCTTCCAGCTCTTTGTTTTGGTTTTTAGTGTCAACTTTTAGTGTTTTTGCTCAGTATCACCACTCTCACCACTGTTTTTCCAGCAGCAGTGAGCGAAATAAACTCTGACAAACCCAGTGTATGTGACTAAACAGCACACTGACAAAATTAGCAACCAGCTTGTGAAGCATTTAGTTGAGTGAATATTGGACTTCTGAGATTCTGAAATTTGATGATCAAATAGGCTAATCTGGTTTACCAGATTATCAAAACCAAATCAAATTTTCTGTCAATGAAAACAAAATAAATGAATACACCCCTAATGTCCGTTATAATTTAGAATTAGTTCAGTTCAATAATTGCAGTTGAACCAGGGCCTAATGGACATTTACTATGGACAGTTTGGTTAACAATATTCCAATTGACCTTTGTTTTCAAATCTAATTAAGTCATTTAGATAGTATGGTTAAACTGAGGATTTGGTTTCAACCTAATTAACCTCATTTAAGACTTTTTCTGCCGGCTGCAGTGACAAGAGATTGGCAAAAATATCTTATAGCTTTGCAGCTGCCTGAATATAAACGCTACATACTCAGCACTTTACAGAAATAAGAATGTGTTTTGTCATTTGCTCTGTCTTGGCTTGTGAATGAAATGTATTGTGAATCTCATTTGCACAGTATGCAGCTGAAAACACAGGCTGGAGGATAAAAAAAAAACTTGACACACTTGAACTTTTATTTTTCCATGCATGTTAGAAAACATAATGTAGAAAAGAAAAAGACACTCTTATATATGGAAGTGTTTTCTCATTCCCCACACTGTCACTTACCTCTCTTAAACTGATTTGACAAGCGGTGATGGGAGTGCTATGTTTAAAAATTGAAACAGCCCAGTTGCTGCTATTAATAGAAACTGGGCTCCCGCTGGCGTGCAGCACTAACCAGATTAAATCATTATGCACTTACTTTCAGTGATCCTGACTACTGTAAACATCTCACATATGTGGGTTGATTTAATGTTTTCCATTTGTTCCAGGTCCCATCAGCAGTATACTGGTCAACACATATGGCTGCAGGCCCATTGTCATGATGGGGGGCTGCCTCTGTGCCACTGGCATGATCTTAGCTTCCTTCTGCACCAGTGTGTTGCAGCTTTACCTCTGCATAGGACTTATAGGCGGTAAGTCCATTTAAATCCACTCAAGTCCATTTTGAGTTAATTTGATTACCCTCTACTTCTAAGTAGCAGGTTAAAATTAAAACTGTTGGAGCAGGAAGAACATTGGCTTTGTTTTTCTATCTATTTTGGTTCCATGCCTTAATTTTACGCTGCTGTGTGTTTAACATAATTTTATATGCTTACTTGCAATTTTCTCTTGGACAATTAGCAGGCTACCTCCACCAAAATGTTTTTGTTCCTTCATGAAGGCTGACATTTCCCTTTGTTGGGCTTCATCAAATCTTTTAGATACAGTAAATACAGTATAACTATCAAATCCATAGTCCATTTAAATCCCAAAGAAATTTTATTAATCTACCAATTACTAATCAATACCCACATATAGAGAGCAAACCAATAACTTAATTAGGTTGTGTTCTGCACCAAGGCTCTTTAATAAGCTTTACTATAGGCTAACTCCTTGTGATTTCACATCACAGGAATTCAGTTAATTCAGTAATATTATCAGAATATTGCTTAATGGAGCTTTTATGACATTTCAATATATATATATATATATATATATATATATATATATATAGACATATATTAAGATGTATGTACAAACGGTCCGCTTGTCTTTCTGCAAAAACGTTTCCACATTAAAACCCCCAAAAAGGCATCCGGTCAAGAATCTACAAATGTACAAATTTTGTTCATTTCTAAAATGTTCCTGCTGGACACAAGATGTCTCCTGCTTCAATGTGGTGAAGTCCATTCTCAGTGTTTCCACTTTTTAAAGAATAAGAGCCATGATAGCAACTCTGTGAGTCTGCACTTAGGCACAGTGCATGGTGCTTTAAGCTAAATGCTAACACTAGCATTGTAGCTACGACACCATCTTAGTTTAGCATGCTAACATTCCTAATTAGTGTTTAGTATTTGGTCATAAACCAGAGTATTAATTGTACAATCACTAGCAGTACCCACGTATCAGAGATAATTGGTTTCTTATTTAGGTGAGTAAGAAGTCAAATAAATACTGTTTTGTAGTATTTGTACAGTTGTAGCATTATAGCGCTACAAGTCTAATTTGATCTAATCTGTCCTCTTTCCTCATAGGACTTGGACTAGCCTTCAACCTGCAGCCAGCACTGACCATGATAGGCAAATACTTCTATAAGAAGCGTCCCATTGCTAACGGGCTGGCGATGGCAGGCAGTCCGGTGTTCCTCAGTACGCTGGCTCCTCTCAACCAGTACCTCTTCAACCAGTTCGGCTGGAGAGGCAGCTTCCTCATCCTGGGCGGCCTGCTGCTGAACTGCTGTGTGGCTGGTTCCCTCATGAGACCTCTGGGACCACCACCCAGCAAGATCAAGAAAGACGAAGAGTTAGCGGTCATTACCACCACAACAAAAGAGAAGCGCACTGCCTGGCAAACAGTCAACAAATACCTGGACTTGACACTCTTCAAGCATCGGGGCTTCCTCATTTACCTGTCAGGCAATGTCATCATGTTCCTGGGCTTCTTTGCACCTATTGTCTTCCTCACAGCCTATGCTAAGGACATGGGTGTGGATGAGTACTCAGCGGCCTTCCTTCTCTCAATTCTGGCTTTCGTTGACATGTTTGCTAGGCCCTCCATGGGGCTACTGGCCAACTCGCGCTGGGTCCGGCCGAGGATCCAGTACTTCTTCAGTTTTGCTGTGCTGTACAATGGGGTGTGCCACATCCTCTGCCCACTGGTGGAAAGCTACACTGGTCTGGTGGTGTATTCTATGTTCTTCGGCTTTGCCTTTGGCATGGTCAGTTCAGTGCTGTTTGAAACACTGATGGACCTGGTTGGGCCTCAGAGGTTCTCCAGTGCTGTGGGACTCACTACCATTGTGGAGTGCTGCCCGGTCCTCATTGGTCCACCTCTAGCAGGTACGAGAGCATATTTAATTTACTTACCTGTACAGTTTGTTTAAGTGTTCTCAATCGTTCTGGCCATTCCACTCAGTGAATTAAATTCACAACATTATTGAGGCCCAGTTACACCAGAAATGTACAGTGGTTTTAGAAGGTAGTGACTGGTGGTGAGCTAACTGCTAACATGGTAAGCACCCATAAATACACTAGTACTAGTCATTCACAAAAGCCCTGTGAGCTACCTTGATTGCTAACAGGACAATATGTAACATATTTGTACCACTAACTTTTGTCTCATAACAGTCCACAAACCATGCCTCGAAGATTTTACACTCTGGTAGAATGTAATATAAATTAATATAAGTGAATTATTACAACACAAATAATAAGGTATGATAGTTTCTCTTGTTTTGGGCTCTACATCCCTCTGCTCCCTTGAAGGTCAGAAATGTCAAGATTGTAGGTCATCTTAAGTTCATCAAAGTTAACGCAATAGAATTGGACTTAATTCCCCCCCTGCAAGTGAATCCATTGAAATGAAATGATTTCATAAAAATATTTATTCAAATGGAATTGATAAGAGTTCCCACTAAACATGAAAATTATGTCCTAATTATACTTGGCAATACTTTCATAAGATTTCATATCTGTGCAGATACTTAAACATTTAATAACCTTGTGCTGTCTTACAGGGAAACTGGTCGATGTCACAAAAAACTACAAGTACATGTATTTTTGCTGTGGATCTGTCGTGATTTTGGCAAGTATTTGGCTCTTTATTGGAAACTTCATTAACTACAGACTTTTGGACCGTGAGCGCAAGGCTGCAGAGATGTACAAACGGACTGAGACAGAAGATCCTGACCATGTTCAGGATCAGAAGGAGGCCGATGGAGAAGCCCAGGCGTCAGAGGAGCTGGGCGACAAATGTCAAAAAGAAGAGGAACCTATGCAGCGGGAAACCAACATCTAGATCCTTCTGCTCTGCCAACAGCTCACCTTCACCTCCGTGGCAACCTCACAACACCCTCCGCTAAAATCAAACTGAGCTCCAAGCCAAGAGGTCCCTCTCGGTGTTCCACCAGGCTCTATTTGGGGTCCTCTGCTAAAACTGACTGCCAAAGCAACAACTGTGTTGTAGGAAGCTGTGAGGTGTAATGTCTGTTTGTCAAAGAGCATCAGCTGTGACTGTAACAGAAATACTAACCAGAGAGAAAAGTGTAAGCTACTGTATGCATGTGAAGAAGCTAAAAGTCAGTAAGTAGGAAAACAGTGTACTAATAACTTTATTTTCTTTTTTGCCACGTTCACCTCATATCGGATTTACTGTAAATACAAGACTGCAACTTCATGGCAGTTACAATCAGGATGCGAGATTATAGGAAGAATGTATCCAAAATTGTCAACTGAGAACTAACAGCAGCAAAGCCACAGATGTTGGCTGATAATTAGAAAATTAATGAAATTCACACTCAGACAATCAGCTCTCATTAAGAAAAGAATTATTGGCTGCAGTTTGTTTATGGTTGATTATAGTTATATTTGTGTGTTACAAAGAGTTAAAATATTGCACGCTTTAGCAACAAGCGTCCTTCCGTTTTTCCTACTGTGTCTTCCGATATGACGTGAATGCAGCATCAGCACTGTTCCAACAGCACCAGCAAACTGAACTCATGTTTAAAATGAAATCTGTCCTCTTCACAACACAATGACGTCTTGCTAAACGATCAAAGGTTCTATTAAAAAAAGGAGGCAGTGAAAGGATTTCTTGGTGGCCAAAAGGACCTTAATGCCAGTGAAAGGTCACTGGTTTGATGCTATCAACAGCCAGTGTCCGTTCGTGAAGTTTTGAGTGACACTGATCCCTAACTGAGCATTCACACAATGAGTAACTTGGTGTATGAGTTGCAGTTTGACAGATCATGGACAGTAAGAGGCCCTGAATGTACCATTTGTTGTTATAGAAAACTAACAGATAAACTAACTGATATTATCATTGATCATAATGATGAATTGCCCATTCTCCAGGCATCCAGCTTTTAAGATGCATCTTCTAGTACTTTCACATCAAATTTGTGAAGAACTGGGCCACTTTGAAAGGCTAGAATCAACTGCTCCTATTTTATGCTAATATCCGTGAATCAAACCAATAGGGAACAAAAGAGGAGCTTAAATCTGGCAGCTGTTAAGCCTAAAAAGCATAAAAAGTCTAAAAAGTTTGGCTGATTTTTCCCTGGTTGGTCAGCGCTATAGGAAGCAAAAACTCCTGATGACTTGTTGATTGTGTTGCTCGCAGTGTGAATGCAGTGTTAGCAATCCCAGTGCACTGGAAATGGTTGATCCATCTGTTGATACGTGTCAAGCAAGAACGCAAAATCCTAATTGCGCTGTGTTTAATATGGCAATTGGGTGCCCTAAAATTCCCACTTTCATAAATAAAGAACAGATGTGTTCACAGCTGGTGACGCTGGTGCCCGTGTATTATGCTGCCCGCCTGAGCACTGTAATGTTGTGTGGTAAAACCTGCACAAATGTCCCACTTTATTACTTTTGATCAAGTCATGAAATGCTTCCTGTGAGTCGTCTATTGTTCCATATTGTACTCATATACAGTATGCTGCACTAAAAGAGAAATGGCCATACTTCACCCCAAACATCTTTATAAAACTGCTGCAATTCACTGAATTTAATTATGGTTGAATGTAATTTCCTCTGTGGGCCTTAATAAGGTATTAATGACCAAAAACCATCTGCATAATAGTGGTTTTTCTACATATAGAGCCCATGAGCAATATAATCTCTCATATTTTAATGCAGATATACATGGAAATGTATGTCTTGTGGCCAATGTGACAGTCCATTCTATGATACATTGCCTTAAATGTAATGTAATGAATGCAGGGGAGTTGTACAGAGAATACTTGATAGTATTATACAAAGCTGATAAACCTTTGTGTTAAATGTGACCCACTTTTATTGCTGTGATTAACTTTAAAAGTCACAAGAAAGCTGTGTAATCTGATCCGATTGTTTCCTAACACGTCTGTATTGAAATATTACAGCTATGAGATTAAGTAATGTTCTGTGTAGTCTCTCCATTAAGTAATTCACTAACATCCACACCAGTATGTTAAAACATCTGAAGGAATACTAATGATACTACTAATTAATGAATGCTACCGTTCGTAATGTGTTCTGGATGGACATATCATGTAACAATCTAAATGTTGTTGTAAATGTCAATATTGTTCAATATTCTATCCATTCCATGTGATAGTTTTTGTAAATGCCATCCTGCTGTGGTGTTGATCGCTTTTCATCTCAAGCTTTGGTCTCAAACACTGAGGAAAACGGTGTCCTGTCTCAGATGTCCTAACAAAGCCAAACACATTTTAATAACAAATGTAATTTTTCAAAGCAATCATGAACAAAGAACAATGTTATTGTGCTTTTTTGTCATGCTTTGAATAGTTGAATGTGTGTTCACAGTCATGAAAATGGATGTCCAGCTGTCTAGCAGCGGCTCTCAATCCATAGCGTCTTCACCCAAGACTCATTACAAACAAACACTATGTACTCTCTGGTTTATGGTGGAACCGGAGGAATCTGCTTGATGAATTCTGAGGCTATCAATGCAACGTTGTCGAGAATATCTGCTATGCCATTTATTGTTAATAAGATAATTTTGAAAGATTTTGGACACTGGACTTCTTTGAGCTTTTTTTTGGACCTGGTCTCAATATTTCCATTTTGAGATGAGCTAGTCTTGGGTTTTGACTGCAGCCACGGCAACTTGTGGACAGTTTGCTTAGCTATTCAGTCTCCCATAATGCACTTACTGCAGTATTTTTATATTACCATGTGTACACCATCCTCATAGCTTTGATTGATGAATAACATTAACACCTTATGAATGTTAACTTATCCTGCTTTCACTTCATTAGTGGAAACGGGGCCTACTTTCATTCACTGCAATCAGACGTCACTATGCTCACTGTACATGATGACTCTCAATGAGGGTAATAGAATGCTGTACAATCACTTTCTACCAAATAACACTGCCCCCTGCTGGTTTTAAACTACCTAGACCAAATGGTAAAGAAAGCCAAGCTTCCCTTTCAACAGGAGAACACATTAATTTGCATGAATTACATTTTGACCAACACCAAGCAAGGTTTCAGGTTTTTTCAATGTACTTTTCTTGTTTTTTGGTGGAGGCTTTGTCAGAATGAACATCATTTCTTTGTGTTATGTTAAATAATACAAGTGGAACAATACACAACCTTGTAATGTTTTGATGCACCTAAGGGGAATACCATTGAATTTTTTTTATTTTATTCTCCTTGTTTTTCTCTATATTCAGTAAAAAGAGCAGGTAATTCCTCGTGTAGACACGTCAGGAAGCGTGAAGCAAGAACTGCTGCATCTGGAATGGTCCAAAGCAGTGGTTCTCAGGACCCCCAAAGGGGTCGCAGGACAAATCTAAGGGTTCAGTAGATGATTAGCAAGATGGGAATAATTCAAAAATATCATCTGCATCACAAGATTTTGTTTTCTTTTCTTTTCTTTATAACTGTTCTTGTGAAATGCTTTATAGATGTATCCCCAGAGGCCTGCAAACATATTCAAATTAATTGTTCTCTGCTAATAGGGAGGCTAGCCATAATATACAAGCTTGAAATTTGATGGTATTCTCTGTACTGTACTGAAAAACCATGGTGTAATTTGTTCAACTTTAAGCAATACATTTCTGTTGTTGGTTCATAATGTTTATTTTAAGAACGAAAGGAAATAAGTTGTAATGATTTAATACAAATACAGATAAGTTTGAATTTGCACCAATAGCCTTATTAATTATATTGCTTAGCATCTGATATATATGGTATTTCTTTCTTTTTATGTGTGCAGTATATATTTAGAAACAGGTTTATTTTGTGGTTTGCTGAAGACCAAATGAACAGAGTTTATATTGAAATGAATATTAAAAACTTTCACCCCTCCTGTATTATTTCTGTAAGCACACATAAGTGTTAAAAAAAAAAGGATATGCCAGCTGAAAATAGTTTTATTAACTGTATAGCATTGTTTTTCTGATGGAATGCAGAATATTGAGGTTTTAGAGTAAGAGAGGGAAGAGATGTCACTTCAGTTTCCTTTTGGGTTACGTCATGCAGTTGTCAAGTAAAACGCACTTACAGTAGCAGCTAGCACTGTCTCAAGCTAATAGAAATGACAGCAGATTGGAGTTTCTTACAGTTTCAGTCATGAGGCAGAAATTGGGTGAATTAAACATTAAAGGACAGATAAGAGAAAACATTTTTGTTCCTGTGGAGTGAAACTCAATAGAGTAAGTGTGGTGTTCTGCCACTAGCTGAATTCATTTTAAATATTTGTTTTTAATTTCAATTTTGTTTTGACCCTGAATTATGTGATCTAGACATCAATGTACTTTGAGTAAATTTAAGGTTTTTATCAGGATTTTAGGGAATTTAAATTTTCAAAAGTTTATTTTGAATTCAGGATTTTCACATTCAAAACTCCATTTTAAAAACCATGGTTTTAAAAAAGAAAAAGAAAAAAAAGCAAATCTCTGCCCGCTGAGCCAATGGGACCATTTCTGCCTCCATTCCAGTGTCCCTTAACTTAACAAAATCCCTTCTGCAGAACCAAATCGTGCAACGTCTTGAACAAACTTCCATTTTTCTTTTTTCTTTTTTTTTTTCTTTTTTTGTATACTGATGTGGTAAGAAGATCGACAGGTTATGGTGTTGATTGTATACAAGGTAGTTTGCTACTGGGAGGCTGAAGGACTCTGGCTGTTAAGCTAACTGTGCCTTACTGTGCAATACTGACCATTATAAACAGCTTTTTATGAACATGGTAAAAATGGTATTGTGTTCAGTTTCTGTCCTTGCTTCTACTGTTTGTATGTTTATAAATCATTGCAGTCTATCATTTTGTGTAAATAATCACCTTATGTAGCTACTCATCCAAAAGTCACTTCTTTAAATCAAATGAACAATAAGCTGTAACACCATATAGTCTAAATATTCATAAATTATTTAGTCTTTGTCATTATTTGCTATATATTGTTTTAATAGGGCTTTGACGACATAATGGAGGATGCAAATATTTCTGTGTATGAACACATTAGAGGACAGTTGTGTTCACGTTTGGACCTCAGTACTGTAGTTTGTCTCAGCAGTGAACTCAGTCCATTATGTACTTCCAGTAGCAGACGTACTGTGTGCTTTCTCATCAGGGCAACTATTACTGTATGGCATTAAACCGTTTATGAGATTGTGTCAGTCCTTCCACTACCTCTGCAGCCGTCATGTCAAGAGTGAGGAAAATACCACACGGGTATAGAAAACTGATTTATGTTTTTGTATTTCTGATAGAATGTTATCACTTATCACAGTAGCAAAATAAAGTATATATCCATAAGTCACATGAGTCTGTTTGACTTTGAATTTGAAGCATTTTTTCTACTCAGCGGAAAGCGGTAATTATTCAAAGGCAGGATGATATTAGTGAGATTACACATAAGGGGGGAATTAAAAATGTAGAATGCTGAAAGAACAACAAAGGAACTTTAGTTTTTTGGCATCAGTTAAGTTTAAAGTTGAGATTTTTAAATGCCAGAGAGGGACTTTATGGCCACGCAGAAGAAATTTCAGAGACTTCCATCACAATACATCCTTCATCTACTCAAGCAAATAATTATACTATGTAATACATACAATCAGGGTACAATAGGTGCCCAGGTTAATTTAATAAGTACAGAAATTGTAATTCTAGTGGCTGACCTGCCCACCAAATGTCAAGTCTTACAATTTTTTAGGTATCCTGCTGACAGAGGGATGAACAAACCGCTGGGTGAAAACAAAACTTCCATGGTGATTGTAATAATCCTACAGTGAGTCAGCACAATGAATAATCTATGTGTTAGGATCGCCTGCATGAGACCAGCAGCTCTCATTACATGCAAAGTGCAACTCCTCCTGCATCAAACATGCTAATAATCAAGCACAAGCCAGTCATTAATTCTGCCTAGTAACCAATCCCAACCCACATTTTAAAGATGCGAACCCAGACCTCTCCACCTCTCTGTCTCATTAGTATTCAGAGCTTTGGCGAGGCTGCTCGTGCCGATGATGGCTGGAGACCCTGAGGCAGAGTTTCAGGCTAGATTTTAATGGGGCGGTAAGGGTCAACGGGAGAGGAGAGAACAATAAGCCTCTCCAGTTTCCTGTGATAGGCGCTTCAGCAGGACCGGGCACCCCAGGGGGGCACCTGTTGGGGTTTTCAGTATAGAAGAAGTTGACCTTCAAAACAGTGTCTAACTCTATTCCCTGTAAAGCTGTGGAGTTTCAGGTCGGCTGCCTTTGAGTCCTGGCGGTTGGCAATTAGATGTCACATTGGGATACAAGCCAACCGTACTTCACTAACAATGTTGTGATAATAGGTTAAATACTGAAGGGATGCGGGCGTCCCAGTAGAGATGTTACCACTCTTTTGAAGTGGCACTGAGCTGGTAATGATACCTGCTTCCAATTGCTCTAATTTTGCTCCAATTTTTCGTTCTCTTTTACATGGCCTGCATAAACATGAAAACAGACTATTTCATTTATTTTTATTGAAGATCTAAAGTGCGTCTGGATGAAAGCAGCAGCCACTTGTAAAAATACGGGAAAGTAAAATCACTGATTGCATTTATCATTTATTACTTTTAAGGTCTTTCATGCTTTATGCACAAATAAACTTGGCCTCATGCAAACGCCTACTTACTGTGCACTTTTAGCTACTGTCAGTACAATTGTTGGCATTTATTCAGATGACAATTAGCATTTTCTGCTAATTGTGGGGAAGTTTTGCCTCCTAAATAAAATAAACGAAGTACAGCATTACTTTACGGCACAGTGCTGAAGTTGTGCTTGTCAACCACTGGCTCATTTACAGCTGTGGGGCAATCCAATCACCACCTCAACCTCAACTGCCTCCTTATAAATCTTTGGTATTGTTGTTAACTTAGATCAACGTATTTGTTTATGAAGGGGGGTTCAGTTTTAGCAGAATCTTTGCTGCTTGAATACTCTCTCAAAGAGCAAACCTAACCATTTGTTATAACAAATTAATTGATGCGTCCTCCGTCTGTAAAGTAACAAAATGACTAAACAGCCTCTAAGGATTGTGTTTGGCCATTTGCAGGTCAAAAAACCTCTAGATGTTGAACTAAAGTTGTCAGTTTGCTTCAAATTAAGTGCATATCAGATTGTCTAACAACGTCACTGCTGTTCAGAACAGCTAGAAAGCATGTTGCCTTCAGATATGGTTGAACATTCAACATTTTGTATGACAAAAAAGTTTGTTTCAAACATTCCCTGCACTTTAATTTAGCTGAAAAGTGAAGGTTTGTTTAAAACATCACATCTAATCATCATCGAAAGCATATCAGTGCCTCTATTTCCTGATGTATTTTTGACATGCTACACACTGACATATATACAAATAGTTTTTTTTGTGTCTAAAATGTCTCAACTTGCTTTCCTGCCAAGAGCTGGATGAGAAGATTGGGACCACTCTCGTTTCTGTCCGTTAAATAAAAGACTACAGCCAGCGGCAGTTGGAAACAATTAGCCTGACCCTGTCCGAACAATTTCTTGGCTGGGTGCAGTGACATACTCTTGACAAGAAAACGTCCCTAAATCAATCCTTTACATTTCCTGTAAGGCAAAACAACTGGAACAAATAAAAGAGAGCATTTCCAGCCTCTTTTAGCAATCACTGAGGAGCATCTATGATATCCGAGGTAGATGATTCCTCATATCCAACAAAGCCAACACCGTCTGCCTGTAGTATTACAGAATATGTACTGCCGCTATAACAGAGGAGAATCTGACTTGCAAGAAAAATGCTCTCCAAGCATCAGTGCTGCACACAGCAACTGCGTGAATGAAACCAATAATCAGCGGCCCCAAGGCGTTCTGACCCAAACTGGACCTCAAACCGTCATGCCCAAAAGCTACAAGCTGCTCTGGTGTCTCAACAAGACACACATTAACCTTTCCTCCGTTATTTTTCTGTGGAGATCTCCCACTTTGAAGTGCTTCCATTTAACCTTCATTTAACTTTTGTGTCATGCACTCCCAGGCGCCCCACTTTGACAGCGGAAGCCTTTAGAAGTCAGAAAAGGCCTGCGGCTATAGATGGCATATCAGTACATCTGTCTGCTCCGGCGCCAGGTTGTGGAGAGAAGAACTGGCTGTTCGTTCTCCTGCGAGTGTTCTGACACTTACTGACTGGATCTCACTGTAGCTCAGTGTCAGGAAGACACTTTAAAAAGACATTATCCTGATCTTAAAGGGACAATGAGTCGGATTTTTAAAGGAAACTATTCAGACACTGTGCCAACACAGCAAAAGGTTGAAATGTATGAGCTAGAGCTATCTAATATTCGGTTTTATTTTGACTATATGGGGGTAGCGCAAGAAGCTGTAAACACCACAGCAACACACGTTTGCAAAGAGCAACATTAGCATTCATTTGAAGTTGTTTTTCTAACTTCTTCACTCTCGCTTTTTTGGTTTTCATTAACCTTGCGAGGCAGTTGGACTCATGATGTCAGGAAAGCACCTTGCTAACTGAGGCGCAGTTGGTTCAGGAGGCTCACTGAACCCCCTCGTGGCAGTAAGTTAGCCAAAAAAGGCATGCAATGGTTTATTTATTTATATATTAAACAAAGTGCACTTCTGAGTTAAAACCAAGTGTGAACCTATCGTGATGTCACCCAGTGGTTTGTGAAATACCATTATGAAGCCTGAAGTTGCCAGCCAGAACTTCAGTTTCACTTTCACTGTCCAGTGGAGCTATTAAGTGGGCGCACAGCTGAAGAGAGCGGAAGACGATGCCGGCTCATTTAGGTAAGTCAGAACACCTGTGTGGACCATGGTGTGGACACAGCATCTCAGCAGAGACAGACACAGAGAGGACAGGAGGGCTAACTATTAACACAAGGTTGGTTCTGGTATTAATTAAAGTGAATGTAGCCTAATATTAAATGATATATTGTTAATGATGTTCAGCATCAGTCTGGTTGCACTCTCTATTATCAGTTCACTCATGATGAGTGATGTGAAGTGAAGCACAAGTACAAGATAAGATTTTAGAAAGTATTGGCTTACATAAATAGATATACTCTATAAAATATAACTTGTTGTGTCTTCATAGGCTGTCTGTGCAAACCGAAGTGACCCAAATCTGATTTATTTATTTACTTTTTCATGACAGTGTGAACAATCCGAATAACATGGAGTCTGATTTCTTTCTATTTTGATTTGAGCCACTTTCACATGTGGTCCACATCAGATTCAGGTCTGATTCTTTGCAATGTGACCTCAGTGTGAACAGTCATATCAGAATTCATGTCACTGTTATTTCACTCTATATTGATGTTCATCATGTGGGTCACTTCAGGACCGTGACATGTTCATACTGGAATCTGATTTGGGCTACATTAAACATGATGTGAACAGCCAAACAAGACAAATCAAATGAATCAGATCAGAGCAATAATCAGAATTGAGTACGAAGGCTTGCAGTGTGAACGTAGCCTTATTGACAGAGAAAGAAACCTGCAAGAGGCTTTTTTTCTGTTTTATATTTTGGCATGAAGTCACAGTCAGGTTAGGTCTTCACTAAATCTGAGGGAAATTTATTAAGCTGTTTTTTAGCTGCTATACGTGCCACTATGTTCACCAGCTACTCGCTAAAAAGTAGACATACTTTATTAACTGTGTGTCTGCTGTTTGGTGTTAGACAGGAAGGGTACAGTGGGTTTACCAGAGCTTTTTGGGGGATTACAGCTGCCTGCTGCAATGAAATGATGCTGACGACAACAGTCAAACTAAATCAAAAGAGGAAAGGCATTAAAACCAAAACAATGAGCTGCAAGATGCTACAATGCTCTGTAAAGCTGAGGGGATCTGCAGTCAGAAGATCATTTTCTGTGGGTTCCTCACTATAAGACCCCTCTCACATTAGTCATTTGGTCCATTGTTGATACATAAACATTGATTAGTGCAGCTTTAAGAATTGAAGGAACAACATTATCTTACTTGAGGTTGTGTAAAACTTTCTAGCTCAACAAAATGTGGACAAAAACCAGGTAGATTGAAAAATCAGTTATATATTTTTGACCTTAAAAACGCCCCAGCTCAACACACACACACACACACACACACACACACACACACACACACACACACACACACACACACACACACACACACACACACACACACACATCCATGCATTTTAAACTGCTCAGTGATGGTCAGCTACAAATTTCTCAATCTACCAGCCAAAAAATAGAGCACTGAAGCAGCACTATTATTCCATTATTCAGAATCATGAAGCTTTTTCTACCCTCAATATTTTTCTGTTGTTGTT